TTAATTCGAGATAATAGTTCAAAACATAAGAATTAATTTTAAAGTATAGTCTTATATTAACTTAACCTTATAGAAGGGATTTTATAATGTTATGGAAATATATAGAGGAATTAATATTACCTATTTGAAAACCAGATGGCTAACAGACTTGAGAAGTAAAGATATATAGTTGTCTAAAAAGACCAGTTTATAGGGGCATATTTCAGGAAGAAATATTCAGTGCCATCCAGGGTGCACTATTAAAGACAGTCTAGAAAGCGGCCAAAGCTATCCATGGAAGCTAGTGTCGAAAGCCCCCATAAGCTCCACCAGATTCCCTAAATACAATCAAAATAATATTTAACTTAAGTAAATATGTTCCACAAATTATAATATTTCTTGGTATTATTTTGCATACAGATACCATTATTGTTTTTTAGAGTTACACTTTTAATGCATAAGCATAAATAAAATAATTAAAACATTTCTATAGATATGGAATTAGTACTACCAATGTATAATGTGCATTCTTTTATTTCCATCAAATATTTGGGCCAAAAAGTGCACATTATACACAGCAAAATATGGTAATCAGACACGAAAGAGAAGACATCAATTATTACAACTTATAGCACAGGGTCCTGAGAGACTACTATGAACAATATATGCCAACAAATTGGATAATATGGAAGAAATTGATAGATTCCAAGAATCATGTAGAAACAGAAAATCTGAATAGACTAATATAAGCAAGGAGAATAAATAAGTAATCAAAACTTCCCCACACAGAAAAGGTCAGGACCAGACAGTTTCACTGGAGAATTCTACAAAATATTTATATATTTAATGCCAATCCTTCTCAAAATCTTCCAAAAAATTGAAGAGGATGGAACACTCCTAAATTCATTTTACAAGCCCAGCATTACCCCAATACAAAAAAAAAAAACAAAAAAAAAAACAAAACCTATGGACCAATATCCCTGATGAATACAAATTAAAAAATTCTCAACAAAATATTAGCAAACTGAATTCAACAATACACTAAAAGAATCATGCACTATTATCAAATGGGATTTACCCCTGGGTTGCAGGGATGGTTCAACATAAGCAAATCAGTAAATGTGGTATCACAGTAATAAAATGAAAGATAAGTCATATGATCATCCCAATAGATGCAAGAAAAGGATTTGACAAAGTTCAACATCCTTTCATGATTAAAAACCTTCAACAAATTGGATATTTAAGAAACAAACCCCAATATAATAAAGGTCATATACAAGAAACCCACAGAAAACATCATACTAAACAGTAAAATGTTGATAGCTTTTCCTCCAAGGTCAGGAACAAGAGAAGGGTGCGTGTTCACACAACTCTTATGCAACACAGTACTCAAAGTCCTAGCTAGAGCAATTAGACTACATGAAGAAATAAAAGGCACCTAAGTCAGAAAGGAAAAAGTAAAAATGCCTTTATTTACAGATGTTCTAATCTTATATATAGGAAATGCTGAAGATTCAATGAAAGACCTGTAGGAACTTATTCAACTAATTCAGTAAAGTTGCAGGGTATAAAATCAACATAAAAAAATCAGTTGTTTCTATGCACGAACAATAAAATAGCTGAAAAATAAATAAAGAAGGCAATCCTACTCACAATGGCATCAGAAACAATAAGTTACTTAGAAAAAAATTTAACCAAGAAGTGAAAAATCTGTATAATGAGAACTACAAGACATGGATGACAATGAATAAGGTATAAATGGGAAGATATTCCCATTTTCATGAATCAGAAGAATTAATTTTGTTAAAATGGCCATACTGCCGAAAGCTGTGTGGAGGACAGACTATTCCATGATGTGCCCGCTGCCTGACCTCTGCAAGACCTGCCAGCTAGACCCAGGTCAGAACAGAGATTGCTTCCCTGAAATCCTCTCAAAGGTGGTCTGATCCCCTCCTCCCTGATGCCCCAGAGCAAGGTTTGCGTTGGTTCCTGGCACAGGCCGTTGCCCTGCCCTGGGAAAGCAGTAAGGCATCTCCCTCTTCTCTGAGGCGGGCCGCGTCCCAGTACCCCTATCCATCCCACTCTGTTCTATATAACACCTTTGCACCTTCCATGAAGTGCACGGTGGGGGAGTGGGTATCCATGCCTTCTTGCTGCTGCCCGAGACACACCGCATATGTAAGTTCCCTTAATACATTCTTGATGTAATAATGGAGTTGTCAGCCCCTTTCTACGGTCTCTTGGCCATGTGAGATGTTACATAGCACCATATACAGATTTGGCGCAATCCCTATCAAAATTCAAATAGCATTTTTTCACAGAAAAAGAAAAATAATCCTAAAATCTCTGCTGAACCACAAAACACACTAAACACCCTAAGCAATCCTGAGAAAGAAGAATAAAACTGGACACATCACTCTCCTGGTTTCAAACTATACTACAGAGCTATAGTAATCAAAACAGTAAGGGCCTAAAAATAGACACACAGGCAAATAAAACAGAATAGACCACTTAGAAATAAACTTCCACATACACAGTCAAGAGATATTTGAAAAGAGAGTCAAGAATACTCTATGGGTCAATAAATATTGGGAAAACTGGATAACCACATGTAGGAAAATGAAATTGGGTCCCTATCTCATACCATCTTCAAAAAATAAACTAGAAATGGATTAAAGTCTTAAACATAAGACCTGAAACTCCAAGACCTCTAGAGGAAATAGGGGAAAAGCTCCATATCACTGGTCTTATCAATGATCAATGATTTTTTTTAATATGATGCCAAAAGCACAAGCAACAAAAGAATAAAATCAACAGCTGGGACTACGTTAAACTAAAAATTTTCTGTACAGCAAAAGAATCAACAAAATGAATGGAAAGGGAAAAAATATTTGCAAACCACATATTTTATAAGGGGTAAATATTTGAATATATTTTACATATGTGTGTGTATATATATATGCACACATACATACAGCTCAATAACAAAAAATACACAATCTAATTAAAATACAGGCAGAGAAATTGAATAGTTTTCCATCAAAATAAGACATACAAATGGCCAACAGGTACATGAAAAAATGCTCCACATTAAGCTACTATATGATCCAACAATCCCACTCCTAGACATATTTCAAAAAGAAATAAAAACAGGATCTTGAAGAAATATCTGCACTCTTAAGTTCACTACAGGATGAGCCACCATATCCAAGAAACAGAAACAACCTAAGTATCTGTCAATGGGTGAATGCATAAACAAGATGTGGAACACACACACACACACACACACACACACACACACACACACTCTGGAATGGAATATTAGCCATAAGAATAGACATCCTGCTGTTTAAAACAACATAAATTGGCCTTTAAGGCATTTCGCTCATTGAAGTGAAGTCAGACAGAGAAAGTATAGTGTATGATATCACTTATATGTGGAACCTAAAAAAATCAAACTTATGGAAACAGAGAGGAGAGTGGTGGTCACCAGAGGCAGGGGTATGGGGGAATAGGGGAGATATTAGTCAAAGTGTACAAACTTGCTGGAAAATAAAATATTTTTTAATTAGTAAAAATGATACCTCAGTGAAAAGAGGAATAATTTCCTATTTCTTCACTTCAGTTCTTTTGTAAGACCTGAGTTTCTCCATCATGTTGTAGTTATTATATTAAATATTTTAATGCAACACCAAAAATAATATACTATGCAGAATTATATAATGTACTTGTCCTATATTTTAGTAGCTTTTTATCACTTTGGATTACTAATGTAAAGTCTTACAAGCCATAAGCACTTAGGGAATGAATCAAAAAATCATTTCTAGGTATGACTTTCCCCCGGAAAGAGAATACTTAATGCCATTAGGGGATGAAAATGTTCCTGATGACAATCACCATCATCACATCTATATCCTTAACACTATTCTTTCTTTTATTGTTCTGAATGCTTTTATTTGCTCCCTGAACTAGTAACCTCTGTGGAGATAAACAAAAATTACCCACATAAGAACAACACTACGAATTGCCAGGAACAGTCACCCACCAGCTCTGCTTATTTGGCTGAGACTTAAACTAAAGGCAGGCAAAAGGGGCAGAGGGGAAAAGGGTTATGGTGGCAAAAGGAGCAGGCCTGCCGCCCTGACAGGAAATTGTTGCCCCGGGGCGGGGAGATGGAAGTAGTCCAATTAGAAAAGTGGTTCTACCACAAATACCATAAATCCAGAAATTCATGCTGATAATGAAAGAACAGTAAAATATTAATCTGAATACCACACACACTCACACACACACACAAGATTACCAGCCCTGGTCTGGTAGCTCAGTTGGTTGGAGCATCATCCCATACACTCAAAGGCTGAAGGATCAATCCCCAGTCAAGAGTCAATGGATGGATGAATGTTTCTCTCACAGCGAGGTTTCTCCCTCCCTCCCCCTCACCCCCTCTTTGTCCCTCCCCTCCCCTCCTCTTTTGGCTTACTGGACAGTGCTCCAACCCACTGAGCCTCAACAGCCAGGGCCTGACCAGACATTTTTAATACAACATTTTCTTTAATCATTACAGAAGATTTTAACTATCAGCTTAATTGCAAAGCAAAGGCACTCAGATATAAGGAGATTCTTAAATGGGATTTAATTCTTTCCATTCTACTTTTAAAGAAGACTAAAAATGTTTGAAGTTATACTATGAAAAAATAAGAAATTATCTGGGAGCTGTTTCTTTTGGACAGAAGTAATTTTAAGCAGAAAAGGGAGCAGGTGAGCAGATATGGCTGTGCTTAAGTTGGGCTGGACAGGCAGAGGGGTTCATTGAGCTGTCTCTGCCGCTAAGTAGTGTGTGTCCCTCAACTAGTTACGTAACACTTGAGGCCATCCCTTTTCCTACCTCCACACTAGAGGGCCCGAAGTATATAAGCTCTATGCAACTTTCACAGTAAAATAATGATACCCTATGTGTCCATGGATCTAAAGATTTGAAAGTGAACTATAAATTAAAATGACAACAAAAATAAATATCATACCTTTGTATTATCTTTCATCCTTGCTTTACATTTGTGTTGTTCCCTGGCCTCACAAAGACCTTTCTGAGTAGGACCTTCTTGCGCATGTTCCTTCTTACCGCCAGGAATAACTACGAGATAATACATTTATTCTTATTATGAGAGTCAAAGTAATGATACATTTATTTTCAACTAATAATATTAAAACCATACCAAAATGTCATAAGTGAGGTCTCAAATTCATTTCCCCAAAAATGCAGGTGGCATTACTGCAAGGTTAGTGAAATAGCATGGCAAGCTGGTTAGAAAGCACAGAAGCCAGTCTTTAATTACATTATATCCAAATTCCTGTTATCATGACGTTTCTTGTCTTTATAAACAAAGTAGAAGAGAGTGTAAGGAGAAGGTCAAAGGAGAAAATGGTAAGCAATAACAAAATTTCCCAAGTGGAACTGGATAATAAATAAGAGATTTTTAAAATAATATTGTATTAATAAAATATTATTCTCTATGCTTCTAAATGTAGAGAAAAACAGAAAGAAAAACACAGGGTAATATTTCAATATGATTGTAAAACTGGTCTCCAAACTCTCTCGGACATAAAGAACAGTCCTAATGGAATCATCTGAGGGAAAAATAAAAGTGATAGGAAAAATATTTCCTTTTTCCTTCTTTTATATACATATCTAAATATACATAATTTTCTCCTGTATTTCTAAACAGCAAGCTGATTTCAAATAAATAATGTTATAACCCTTAACTTATAAATAAAAGAAATAACTCAATGTTCTAAAAGAAATAACTCAATGTTCTAAATTATAATAGATAAAAGATAATGAACACAAAAATACTGGGATGGTTTCAATGTCAAGGCTCTCAAAGAGTCCACAGGTTATAAAGGCAGGGGACACATGGCTGGCATTTAGTTTCTTCTCTCATCTAATTAATTTTTCCTATTCACTATCTATTCCAGACAAAAGAAGAGAAAGTCCTCAAAATAACCCCCACTATAATATAAAAACAGAATCTTGTGTAACTTAGTTTTACAGGAAAGTTCTTGAAAGACCTCAGACACTTGGCTATCCAAATAGCCTGTCCTCACTCAGTGGTGCGACTAGTTACAGAACCACAGCATCTGGGAAGTCCAAGTGTATACTCTTCCCTGAACAGTCATGAAATCCTGCCAATAATCCTGTGATGTTTACTACCTTTTATTTCCTTTATATACCAGGAGAATTTGTATAGTAATAACTACAGGGAAGAAAGGAGAAACTCAAGATTTCAGCAGATAATTCTAGGAATATGAGCAGATATCAGGTAGTATGAAAAACATTACTAAACAGCACTTCATAAGCAAAATAAAATAAAAGCAACAAATGAAAAATAATAAGGATAAAAAATTAAAGTCAAAAATCAAAAATAATTTGGTTTATGATTATATGCAGTTGTTCCACAAGCAAACTAAAATGACCAAAAAATCATACTTTAATAATATTTTAGGGGAAAGCATCAACATTTGGAACCAAAACATGAGAATAAACACTGCAGAATATATATGGAATTGGCAGATAAATAACATTCCCTACTTATCAATGTAGCAAAAATAAACATAATTTCCAGTCTCCATCAGATAAACATTACTTTTACTTACACAAAGGTTTGTAGAACAAATGAGAGTCTCAGACATTAAAGTCTGTGTCACATTCACAGTTAACTGCATCTAAATTTTATTTTTTTATACATATATATTTTATTGTTCAATATAATTATTGTTCAAATACATTTGTCTCTATTTTCCTGCCACCACTTTCCCCTGCCCACCCCCACCTCCCACCCTCAATCCTTCCCCACTCTAGCTTTGTCCATGGGTCCTTTATACATGTTCCTTGATTTGACCCTTCCCTTTATTTTGCCCATTACCCCCCTCCCTTTTACCCTTTCGTTACTGTCAGTTTGTTTTTTCTTTCAGTGTTGCTGGTTATATTTTTCTTGCTTGTTTGTTTCATTGATTAGTTTCCACTTATAAGTGAGATCATATGGTATTAGTCTTTCACCCCCAGGCTTATTTCGCTTAGCATAATGCTCTCCAGTTAAATCCATGCTGTCACGAAGGGTAGCAGCTCTTTCATTCTTTCTGCTGCGAGTATTCCATTGTGTAAATGTACCATAGTTTTTTAATCCACTCATCACTGATGGGCACTAGGTTGCTTCTAGCACTTGGCTATTGTAAATTGTGCTGCTATGAACATTGGGGTGCATAGTTCTTTTGAATTGATGTTTCAGGATTCTTAGGGTATAATCCCAGCAGTGGGATTGCTGGGTCAAAAGGCAGTATCATTTTTAGCTTTTTCTTTTTTTTAAATTTTATTTTAATTTACTTTTTAAATACATTTGTCTCTGCCTCCCCCCCACCACTTTCCCTTGCCCCCTCCCTCCTTCCCTCCCTCAGCTCTTCCCCTTTGGTTTTGTCCATGAGTCCTTGCTATATGTTCCTTGACTTTCCCCTTCCCTTCCTTTTCCCCGCCCCCCTCCCTCCTTCCCTCTTGTCTCTGTAAATTTTATATTCCATATAGCACTTCCTCATGTTCAGTAATATACTAGCAAAGTTCATGTCTCTATCACGAGAGCCTCATGTTAATCATCTAATGTTTATTAATCACAAGGCCTATAGTGTTAACTAGGGCTATGTAGTTTCCTAAATGTTACTTGGGCACAATCAACATCTTAAGGAAGGTGCAAATCCTTAAGAGAAGTAAAGGAAACATCAAAGAAACAAATACAGTCATTTTTGCTTCAGAAATTTTATTTATTGTGAGTCCGGTGCTAAATTTCACCCATTCAACTATTCCTTCATGGATACACACATTCAACCAACATTAATTGAACATGTTCAGGTCCCTATCATGTTAAATATCAAAAATAATGAATACAAGGTCTGTCCAGAGAAAGTCTAGCCATTGTTAATATAACAAGAAATATTCGTGCGACATCGATGTAACCTGGCAGCAAAGGAGAGTGGACTGGAATGCGCATGCATGACAAGGATGACTCCATTGTACTAGTCAGTGGGGGCAAGAGACATCGTTGAGTGAGCATGTGTATTTTGTGGCTCTCCCATTCAAAATGACTGAGTACTGAAACAAATCTGCATCACATTTTATGTTAAGCTTGAACATTCCTCTGCAGAAACTATTCAGATGACTCAGAAGGCCACAGCTATGGGCAACTGGTGATTAGCAGCTTCATCACCACAACGTGCCTGTTCATGCATCATGTCCTGTGCAGAGATTTTTGGTGAAACATCAAATCACCCAGGTGACTCAGCCCCCATACAGCCCAGATTTGATGCTCTGTGACCTCTGGCTTTTCCCAAAACCAAAATCGTCTTTGAAAGGGAAGAGATTTCAGATCATTGGTGAGATTCTAGAAAATAGGACAAGGCAGCTGATGGCGACTGGGTGAACTGTGTGAGGTTCCAAGGTGCGTGCTTTGAAGGGGACTGAGGTGTCACTGCTCTATGTAGTGCATAGAGCATTTATTGAGGAAGATATAATGTATCTTGTATCTTCCTCATAAATGTCTCAATTTTTCATATTACATAGCTGGATACCTTCTGGGCAAACCTCATATGTTCATGTAACAAATAAATACTTAAGTATTTCCAATATGCCATTCCCTCACTTCCTTGTAGATTATAAACAGCTGAAAGATTTATTTTACTGAAAAAAAAAGGTTTTAAGGAAATTATCCATAACTAGCCGAGAAAGATAACTAGAAAATATCTAAGATTAGGACAGATATAAGCTAAAATGAGGAACTCTAACCGGAATCTAGAAATGTAATAGAGGTAAGGCAGAAGAGGTTATATTTAAAATGTTAGTAAATCTTTCTAAACTAGATCACAAACTCCATATAGTTATTCAAAATTGGCATCTAGTAATGCAATTTTGAGCAGCAACAAGATACCCAGATTCAAAAAAGTAGCTACTAATTAAACCAAAAACCTTAAGGAGTTCTTTACTATGGATAACATCTATTTCCTCTGTGAAGCTCTGAAGTTAACTCAGTTTTAAACCTCATCAGACATTTCCAATTTCTAGCTGTTTATTTTGAATTCATAATTCCCTATCATAAATTGCAAGTTATATTAAAATACAATGATATGTATCTTTACAATCTGCTTTTGAAATACAAAATATTACATTCAAATTTCAACCTTATAGGAAATCAAAGTAATATAAACACAAATATAACAATCAAAACCAGCATATTCAAAAAATTTTTGAAATTAAGTAATCTGCACAAAAAAGTTTTATCTCATAATATGTAATACTTAAAGGCTTTTTGTGTATTGTCTTGTAAATATTTGATATAGTATTTTTATAACAAAAAAGAGTACAAAATTGTCACTTCAAATATCAGTAAATAATATTTCATTATTTCTCCTAGGAACTTTTGTTATTCTACATGCCATATAAGAATAAAGATAGAATTAAAAATGCTTTCAGGTGAGAAAGTTAAGTGCTAAAGTATCAATAATATTCTCTCTGGTGGTAGCAACTAAATGGATAACTTTTTAAATGTATTTTACCATTATAAAATTAGCATCCTACTCTTATTAGTCCAAAAACATATGCTTAAAATTCTTTGATAATTATACTCCAAATGAGTCCAATATTTGTCTTATTCCCTAAATTTGAATTAAACAACAATTAACCTGCCCTTTTCACAAAGTTCAGTGTGACAATCAACTCATTTTTCCCCAACTACAGAGTGAACATAATTGTAATCTTAAAAATTTCTACTGCCTGAAAATAAATGGATAGATGAATGACAGAAAGAAAATAAAATATTTTAAAAATTAAACTAAAATGAGCAAAGGAAGAGGGAAGGTGTTAAATATATGAAAATTATCATAAAGGACCACATTCTTTATGAGGAACAAACTTAACCAATAAAGCCAACTCCTTAAATTATAATCCCTGGCCAAGTAAGGATCCAAGTTGATCAGGCAGGGTGATGACAGATACTGTGATCACACAGTCAAATGCTGACACCAGAAGCTTAGGAAAAGGTACTGCAAGTCCTATGTCTATAACTAGGGTGTCTGTCTAGATAAGAAGCACAAAACTTATTCAGTACAGGATTTAAGAAATTAATTTTATTCCCATAATTAGAATTATTCAACTAAAAGAAGTTATTTCTTGATGTTGGACAGGAATGTATTCCATTTGATCAAAAGCCACTTCAAAATATCACCGATCAAAATATAATTACAAACTTAATATTTAAAGTAACATAAATATCAGCTTAGAAAAACATGTAATGTGTTCATTTTTTAATTATTTTAAATATCAGGAGCTAACTTCATAAAGGAGCTATCTACACCATTAGTTTATTTTAATAGAGATCTCAAGAATAAACATGTAAAATCATCAACTATTAGAGTAAAATGTAGCATTAGAGATTAACTGATGCAGCATCAAACAAATGCAACATTCCTCAAACTTTAAGCCTTTTTTTGTATTCTTTTTCATAATCTTTAGTCACTTTGGGAGCTAGAGTTTCTAAGATTATGATAATTTCATATTCTATTTTCATATTTATATTTGATTATGTACTTAAAAGTTATTTACACATGAAATATAATTTTTAATGTAAACAGACACATAAGCAAATGTGGTAAGCAAAAAATGTAGAAAATAATCACATCACAGAAAGAAAATTACATAAACATTTTGTTTTGTGCATCCTCCAATTATTTTTTAAACATATATTTAACAGACTTACCCTCATACTATATATTATTTCTTAAAATTATATTAACATAATAACATGAGTATTTTCTTACTCATATATTTTTAAAGACTTTCTAGTATTGTATGATCAATTATATTTAAACATTTACTTGCAGTTAAAGGTTAATATTGCTTGCATTGTTTTGTTACTATAGATATGATTGCAATAAACGTCCCTGTGCATAGTCTCTTTAGGCATCACTGAGCATAACTGATATTTCTTTAACATAAAATGTTAGGAAAGAAACTAATGAACCAAAGCTAAGTAAAACATTTCAAATATAACAATGCTACATATTTCTTTTAAGCCTTAATTAGAGAACACAGTGAGTAGTCATCTAGAAATAACATGAGAGTATGTTTATTAAGAAAATGCAGCATTTCAAAGTCTTTCTATTATTTAGAGTTTCCATCATCTTTTTTAAGTCAATTTTATTAAGGTATAATTTACATACAACAGAATATATACTTTGAAAATGTAGGGTTCAGATATTTTCTTTTAAGGATATTAAGAAGAGAAAAACTTAATTTTTATATTAACCAGAATTTATCATTTCTAAATCTCTGTATTCAATTCTGTAAATCTGAGTTCCTTTCTGGTATTTTTTTTTTTTTTTGGTGCAAAAAAAAAAAATCTCAGTATTTGCTGTACTTCACAATGGCTTGTAACAAAATCCCTAAGCTTTCATTTATATTAAAATGTCTACATTTCACCCTAATATTTGAAGAATATTTTTCTTGTATATAAAATTCTGATTTAAAATTCTGCCACATTTTAAAGACATCATTTCCCTTTTCCTAGTTTTCACAATTTCTCGTGTGAAATCAGCCTGTGTTTGTGTTCTTCCCCTTTATGTAATTCCTTTCTCCCTTGCTTCTCTCAAGATTTTCTCAGGGGAGAGCAATGGGGGAAAAGGCAGGACACCTGCAACTGAACAACAATAAATTTTTTTTAAAAGATGGAATTCAAAACAAAGCACATAAAAAAGATTTTTCTCATTTTTCAAGTTTAAATACGATGCATCCAGGCATGATTTTCTTTGTGTTTATAGTTAGATGCTTTTTTTATTCTGGTATGTAGGTTGATGTTTTAGATCAAGCTTGGAAAATTTCAGGTCATCCTTTATTTAAATATTTTTATGTCCCATTTTCATCCTTTTCTCCTTTGGGACTCTAATTACATATACATTACTTCATTTTTTTCTATTTCTTCTTTACAACAGATTATTTTTATTAATTTCTTCAAATTCACTGACATTTTTATCATATGCAATCTGTTGAGAAGTATAAACTTTTCATTGGTTGTGGTTATATTTTTCAGTACTAGAATTTCTATTTCCTTTTTGTTTCCATTTATCTGCCAAGATTCTCTGTCTCTTCACTTACTGATATCATATTTTCCTGTAAGTCCTTGATCATATTCAAAATAGCCTCTTTAATAATTGTACTTGCTAAATCTAACACCTGTGCCATATCAGTGTAGGTTTCCATTTATTGCTTTTTGTCTTAAGTGTCGGTCATATTTTCACATTTCCATAACATATCTAGAAAATTTTAATTATATACAAGACAATAACAGATGAGAGGTTATAAAGCATCCAGACAACTGTGTTCCTCTGAAGGGTATTAATTTCTGTTCTAGCACACAGTTTAACTTTTTGATCACCTTGAATTTCGAGGTTTAATTTTATGCTTTGTTAGTATGGTAGATCCACGGAAATTGCTAAATATTTCCCAAGGTACTCTAACTTGCTAAGATTCAAACTCTAAACTCTTATTTCTTCCAGGAATTTAGTGTAAGCTTTGTTTTTGGTATTATAGGGTGGATACAGGATGCTGAACGTTAATATAGTGTTACCAGGGCATTAAAGAGGTCTCTCCATCCAGGAGTGGCTAGAGCTCGAATGTCTTCCATCACTGCTTGACATCTAGAATCTCTGGTCTCTTCTTACTCCGATAGAATCTTTTCTCTCTGGTAAGTCTCAGTAAGTCTCAGGTACTCTTGCATAAGTAGTCCAGCCATCAATTAAGGAATCATAGTAAACTTCTTCACAAACTGGACCATTGCTTTTTGCAGGACTCTCTTCTTTGGTGTCCTTTCCAACAGATTCTAATTGCTTCCACAGCTTGCCTTTTCAGGTCTTGCAGGAGTGCCATGATCTTCTTAACCTCCATCTCCATGAAGTTTAGATTGGAAAATTCCCAAGGCACAAAGTCGTGGTGATGATGCAGTTCAACTTACCCATTTTCCTTCTGTCACTTGCCTTCTGAGACTTGTGCTGTTTTCCACTGTTTAACACACACACACACACACACACACACACACAGAAATATATATCTGTGTGTGTGTGTATTCCAGTGCCTCATGTATATAGTCCAGTTTTTTTATGGGGAGAAGACTAGCCTGTACTAGGTACTCTATCATAGCCAGAAATCCTCCCATTATGGTTTACTTATATTTTTCACTAAAATTAACCTACACAGTATCACATCTATCCTTCCTCTTGATCTTTTCATTAACATTTTAATTTGTAAGATAGTTACCACACCATTTATTCACTTTTAAATAGCTCTAGAATTTTGACCTCTGATAAGGTTGTGAAATCACCAATATTAAACTACAGTTTTATCATATTTTACTCTTACCTCTAATTTTAGAAAGTTGGTGACTACGCTTTTTTTCCATATGCCTTATTGTTGCTCCAAGTCCAGAAATCTAAAAAATAAAATCGAAAGACACAAAGTTAGAAACTAAGTAACTCAAAAAAGTTTAAAAGTTCAATGTTTAAGTATTGATTGCAAAATTTAAAAAAAATTATTCTCTCTTGAATTAAGTCCTATGTATTTAAAATTTTTAAACATAAACGGCAACAAAAGAAAAAGGTAATTATTAAGTTTAAATTAAATTCCACAGGCAATTATTACCTATTACGAGTAAGCATTTGAGACATTTCTTTTACAGCACAGTTTCCTCAATCAAAAATACTAACTGCACACTTTGAATGATAAATATTCAGATCCTTACTTTGAGAGAGGTTCCTCCTCTGTTCAAATTGCTTCACAACTAAATTAATCTTTATGTCCATACAAGATGAAGTAGGTATTACTTGGGAAGTAAAATATGAAGAGACTATCGTTATTCCTAAAACTCTTAACTCATTTTCCACCCACAGAGACTCCTTGTTTTATTAAACATATATTGTAATTAAGAACATTTGTTAGTTTGGTGGCATATCATTCCCTATATTTTCTGAGCAAGAGACTTGAATTTAAAATTCAACCTTAAAAAGTTATCTCATCCCTCATTGTATATGATTATGCCAACACAAAATACCATGTATTTAATTATGTGTAGATATACAAATTTTTATTTCACTGAGCAACATTTCTTTATTAATAGAAAACAGCAAGTAATAAATTATGATACACAGATTAGTGCTCATGAGATGCCTGAGTTTAGAAAAGAGTAAAAAATTCATATCTATTCTTGGATGCCAAATGCATTATAAAATTTGTAAATGTACCTCTTATTTAAAGTAGAGTAAAATTTACATGAAAGTTCAAAACATAATACAGAGAGTTCCTGTATACACTGCACCGTGTTTCCCTCATTCATATCATGCATTGCCGTGGTACTTTTGTCATTAGTAATGAAATAATATTGGTACATTATTATTAACAAAAGTCCATATTTTATTCTATCTTCATTAGTGTTTTCCAATATCCTTTTTTGTGTTCCAGGATCCCATGAATACTGGCCAGGTGATATTTCAAAGAATGTCCATAAACTTGGGTTTGTCTGATGTTTTCTCATGGTTAGACTATAGTTATGGGTTTGAGGGAGGAACTCTACAGAGGAGAGGAGCCATTATTATTAACACGTCGCATCAAGGGCACATGCTATCAGCATCATTAAGTACTGATGATACTAACTTTGATCACCTTTCTGAAGAAGTGTTTGCCAGGTTTCACCATTGTAGAGTTACTTTTTTCCCGCCATTTCCTCTGCACTTTCAGAAGCAAATGTAAGTGTAGCCACACTAAACAGTTTAGGGATTGAGCTTGACCTCCTTGAGAGAATGGTTATCTACATATGTCGCTGGAATTCTTTGAGGGGACATTTTTCATGTCTCTTTTACTCTTTCATCTCCCATTTATATATGTCATTATGAACATTTATTTTATACTGTGAATTATAATTCAATACTGCATTACTTATTTTCTTGCTCAAATTGTTCCAAATTTGACCATGGCAAGCTCTTTCAGGCGACTCCTGTCTGACTCCATTTTTTATGTTTGACCGCTGTAAGCTCTTAGAGCGCACACTCCCACTTCCCTTTGTGTCCCACATCTGGGCAAGCTGATAAGAAGGCCTTGGTGCTCCCTCCTTCGACACTGGGGGAAGATTTAAACCATACAAACCCCTCTTTGCACATGAGAACTCTCACTGGGGCCTCAAATCCTAACCACATAAAAACCCCAAGCCCGTTTCCTTTCCTTGCTCTCCGCCATCTCCAACCTGCATGGTAGGCGTGCAATGTTTTCCCCAGAGAACACACGCATGTACGTAATAACGGTATTCATACCCTCTTAGTGTGTCTATGGCATCATCAGGCTCAACATCCAAAACAAATTTGTTTGGTAGTCCATCTACCTCTGCAGTTGCCCAAAACAAATCCCTCACATACTCCTTTTTTGTTTTTCTTTTTTTTTTCACTCTTTCTCTCTCTCGCCCCAACCCTTCCTCACTTCCTCCCTTCCCCCTTCTTTCTTCTTTTTCTTACAATCTGATTTCCAACTTCCTAGAATAACAAGATGCTCCCAATACTGCAGACTCATCTTGTGTTTTCCCTGCCCACCCTATAATCAGCCACTTCTGCAAGAAGCCCTATTTCATTTTATTGAAGAATATTATTAGAAACCAATACCCAAACAAAGGGTTTACTTGTTGTTATTGGAGTGTAATTATTTCTAGATCCTCTCAGGAGTCACAACTAATAATAAATATAAAAAAAATCTCCTGAGTTAGAGCCTTGTGACCCAAAATGATAAACTACAATTTATTAAACATACATGCTAATAAATAAAACATTTATTTCAAAGATGGGACTCTAATTCAGAATTTTGGACATTTGTCAAACTTAAAATAATTAAATGACAGGTTTTTCTAAACGATTTAAATAAATTAAAATGTTGCTACAATGTTCATTATCAAAATAATCTGAAAATACAGATTTTTGTTATCTCACAGTATACTTTTTCAGTCTTTTATACACAAACTAAATAACATTTAAAATTTTTAAATTCTAATCCTTCTTCATGCAAGATATTCATATTAAGCTCAATGTTCACTAAAATAAGGTTTTTAAGGAAGCAATGCTTAGGAATCCAGATAGAAAACACAATATACTTCATCCTGTTCTAGTTCATATCATAAAAGTTTTGTTAGAAATGAATGAATTCTCAGAGTGTAACTACATGAAAACACTGAGACATAATAAAAAATAAGCATAAAAATTAGCATCTTCCATTTGGATCATACAGAAACTTTTCAAATACTCTAACATATTTTCACTTACATTTCAATATATTTTCACAATAAATTTACCCCACAGATTCATGACACATTAGCAGATTCAAGTTTAAAGGGTAATCCATGGCTGCGTACCCAGGGTGTACCTGATAAAAAGGACTCGACAGAAAAAAAAAAAGGACTGGGTTGGTTCAGCTTATTAAATGGTAACCTCAGCATGTTTTCCAAGGTCAGACCTGATATGCCTGAGACTATATTCTCTGTCCTAATTTGGAAAACATGCTAATTGATCCTAGGGTATACAGGTATAAGGAATGTCTTGCAGTCACTTTGGCCACTCAGAACTCTGGATTTAGTAAATTGTGAGTCTTCCATCCTTCACCGTGTATGTTAGATGTTGCAATCCTTTTTCGTAACTAGGATTCTAGAAATATTCCATAGGCTCCATCAATAACGTGTATCCATTTTGGAGAGTCAACAAAATGTCTGGTGATGTGAGGAACCATGTACAATAAAGAATTCATTCTGAGAATGGCAGCTGCTACATCCCGTTTCCATTGACAGCCATAAAACAGATCTAGAAGGGCACCCAAGTGCCTAGTCTTAGCATTGTCCATAGCGAAACCTTTGGTGGCAGACATGGCACCGCCAACTCAAATCTTACTTCCTTGAATTATAATGAACCTACTATCTTAAACAGCAGAACTGATAAAGGGAGAAAAGCTATTTATAAATCCTAACAGCTGGTTTTTAGATAATAAGAAATAAACTCTTAAAATTTCTTCGTTAGGATTTTCCAAATTAGATTTTTTAGGATAAAAATGGAAGATATTAATAATGGCCCTGTGATAACAGGTATAATTTAAAAGTGTCTGGGGCAAGTGATGATGAAGAGCAACAACCAGTAATATAGAAGAGGACAGGAAGATATCCAATCCAATAGAACAAAGAAATACATAGGGTTCTGTGCCTGAGGGGAAGAAAAAACGTGAGGTCAGATATGAGTGAGCTGATTCACCTCTCAAGCTAAAACCCTAAATGGGGCTAGCTGGAAGCAAAGGGCACATAAGCCAGACAGTTCAGGAACACTATATTTGCTCCTAGCTTTCCATGGAATCATCGAGGAAAACTGATATCCCCTTAAATAGACATTCATATTTTGCACTATGCTGGATAAACATCATAATCTCCAAGTGGAATTTGAAAATTGACTAAAGGAGGTATATCTATGTAGATATATGTTAAATGGTTTCTAAATTGCCCATGATTGTATTTGCAGTATAGGGAAATCAGAAGTCTCAAAGTGCCTCAGTAGGGTTCACGAAAATGTTAACATTTGAAGCACCGAACCAGAGAAAGAATGAGAGTCAGGACAATGAGGCCACAGATGTTAAGGATCTCACAGATGCTGTGGCAGAGAGGTCTTGGATTTCGCAAGGTACATTAAGTTTGCAGCCAAAAGAATTACCCAGAACCATATACCTTAACACCAGGAATATGGCCAAGCCAGTCATACTTCACTAGAAAGAAGGTGAAGACTAAAAGGACAGTATGTAGACATCAGGTCTTATGGAAACATAAGTGCCCCTTGTGTTAGGAATCATCTGGGAAAGAATGTGGAAAAGAGGGTGCCACTTGAAGACAGAAAAGGAACACTGATAGCTAAACAGTCAGTTATTATAACACACTGTGTTAAACTTAGAAGCTGTTGTAACCCAGAAAGATCTGAATAGTCTTTAATAACAGGCTGTTTTTCTTTTGCCTTCAGCAGAGGTAGGAGTTCAAGGACAAAGTAAGTTGTGGATTATAAAAACAAAATTCACTGAACACCTGAATGGTAGAGTGTAAAATCAAGCCTGCCTCCCACAAACAGTGATGTTAATTTTTTAAATGTTTTCATTTCAGATCAGTATCAACTATAAGGCAAGTTATTTGTTTAATAGGTGAGAAAACAGACTAATGTGTAAAATGACCTGAACATTCACATGGCTACCTTCCACTCCCAATCCTTAGCTCTTCTAACTAGATCAGTGAAGAACAATTTGACATGGAAAGACTGTGTGTGGCCTAAATGCATTCTTAATATGGCCTTCAATCTAACCACAGAAACTCCTGTTAGAGAGAGGAGGACTGAGTGGCAGATCCAGCGCTGGACAGGTTGCAGGTGTAGAAATCAACAATTTGGAGGGGAGTGCAGGCACTTGCCAGCATGGATGCCTGGAAGGCCCTGATATCCTTGAAGAGTGAAACTCAGTCTGAGTGGCCTGTCAGAGATGCCAAAGTATACGTGGTCACTCGGGAATGTACGGCCAGGTCACTGATGGATTCCTTCTTGGAGAAAGATAATAGGAAAATAAGCATGAGACCAGGGGAAGGAGGAGAATAAGATGGGCAGCAAAAGTTTAAGTGGGACTCAAGGCAAGATAAGAAGTAGGAACAAACTAAATCTGTCTTGCAGGAAACCAACATGTAGAATTGTGGCTCTTACTGGGAGGCTGGGGGACAGGCTGGATAAAAAGGAGAAAAGAGATGAATTTCAGAAGGTGTGACCTGAAATGCCATTAAAATGTAAATTATTATTAAACTCATTTAATGCAATATCACTAATAATACAACTTAAACATTCAAGAATACAAAATTAAAATTCGAGCACAAAGAATCATAACTGCTGTTTTGCATTTTAGTTAGCTAAAACTTACCTTCAATAAAAGACCAAATACACTTGGTTAAAGCATGTCTTAATAAAATAAAATGGATAAAATATTTATAATGGATGAAATTATTTTTCTGAATGTTTCCAAATAATCATTTTTACAATATGAAAAGCGGTGAAAACTTTTAAAATATATCTCGGAAACAAAACCAATATTTCTATTTGTCTTATAAAAAATAAATGGTTAAAAATAATTTTGAGGTACCTCACGTTTTACCTGCTCAACTGCTCTGTCTTTTTCCAAAGAGGTGAGCATTTTCTGCTTCAGCAAAGTTTGGTGCTTCTCAAGTAACACCCTTATAGTTGGTTCATAAGATGCATAATGTAACTTCAACCTATGAAAAATAAAGGGCATCTTAAAGGGTAATTCAGTTAAATCAGTGATTTCCATTTAACATCTGAACACTTTATTTCTTTTGGGTTTCTTTTTTGCATTAGAATAAAAAATGAATAACCATATAAAGGTCAACACAACAGAGCCAAGAAGTGCAAGAGGTATTATACGGTGTACAACTTCCCTGCAGCCTGGTGGGAGTTAGGAAGTCCTCTTTCTCTGTATTCAAATACGTACTCAAAAGATCATTGCTATTCACTGAAAAAGGAAAAAACTGAATTCCTTTCATCAATTCAGAAACAATTTTCAAATAGACAAGGATTACAAACAAAAGATGATTAAACACAGTGTCATTCACATCAAAATAAACTAAAGGATGTTCTTAAAAGCAGGTTTGATTAACCTTGTATTAAGAAGATAAGGTATAAAAATATTTTGACACCTCACATAAAAAATAATTGACTAAGCACATTGTATAAGCACCTTGAAGAATCTGTTTTATTTCAAAATGTTTTCAAATAATTTTTTATTTTTATTGAAGTGTAATTTACATGGAGTAAAATCTACAGACCTTAAACGTCACAGTTCAGAGTTTTAATAAATAGCATGCCCAGATAGTCTACGTTGTTACTAAAATATAGGGCATTTCTAAAATCTCAGGAGATTCTAGAGCTTCATATATTCGGAATCACAGTATATGCTCTCTTGTGAAACTGGCTTCCTACACTCAGCATGTTTTTCAGATTCTTCCATATTTTGTTGTGTATATCATTAATTCATTCCTTTTTATTTTGGATAGTATTTCCTTGTATGTGTAATCTAAAATGTGTTAACTTTTGTATTACGCTGATGAAGAACTGAGCTGTTTTCAGTTTGGGGCTATTATAAATAAAGTCGCCATGAACATTCTTATACCAGTCACATAAGATAGGTTTTGATTATAGATCTTCATTTCTCTCAGGAGAAAAAAAAACATAGATGAACTGCTGAGTTGTAATTTATACTACAATTTGTCAACATTTTGTAATGGTTGGTCTATCCAAAGTTTCTCAATTCCATTATCAATTTTTTTCAGTTTTATTATATTTTAAAACAACCGATATATGAGTTTAATTTTTTTCTTATGCTTATCCCTTTGCTAGTTTGTTACAGATCTTATTTTTATTATTTCATTTCTTTTTCTTTCTTTGTATTTAATTTGGGGTGGTTTTTTTTTTTGAGCTTCTAAGGTGCACAACTAGATCACTGGTTTAAAATTTTCTTCTTTCCTAATGTAAGCATTTAAAGCTATCAATTTCACCTTAAGTATTGCTTTGGCTTCATCTGACAAATTTTAAAATGCTTCATTTTCAATCAGTCAGTTCAAAATATTTTCACATGTCCTTCTTTAACCCATGGGTTACTCAGAAGTGTGCTACTTAAATGTCCAGGTAATTGGAAATTCTCCAGAGAGCTTTGTGTCATCAAATTTTAATTTAATTTGGTTTAATCAGAGAACATATTTTACATGACATCAATTCTTTGAAATTAGTAGACAGTTATTTTATGGCTCAGCATCAGACATATTTTGATGAACATTCAATGTGCTCTTGAAAAATCTAAAGTAGAATTCAAGAAAGGTCAATGATGCTCATTAACATGTCTTCTTCAACAGACTTAGAGAATATTTTGCCTATTTTTCTATTAATTGCTTAAAAAGGAGTGTTAAAATCTCCAGTTGTAAATGGGGAAATATTTATTTTTTTCTTTCCATTTTATCAGGTTTTGCTCCATATATTTTTGAAACTCTGACTCCTCTAGTAGATTAATGCATTTGTCTTCCTGATCAGCTAGCTCTTTTATCAATACGAGAATACCTCTTTTTCTCCCGTCCTCAGGATGCCCCGAGGATGTTTGCTCTGAGGCCCCTCTCCTCAGGCCCTGTGGGATTGCCAAGGTGGCCCTCCTTCCCTAGGAAACGCTGCCTCAGAGATCTCTTCACCACAAGATGAAAGATCTCCTCCTGGAGTTACTCCTACTCCTCTTCTCCTGACTGCCAAGCTAATGGTCTGACAAGGGCAGAAAGAGACTGTATATCCAACCCTCTCCAAAAAACAATCAGCACATACTAACAGGAACCAGCAGAGTAGCCCAAAGACTGAACTTTGAAATAACTTGATTAAAAGGGCTGTAAACTAAGACTGGATAAACAATAATTAATTGACCTGGAACAGCTTCCTTCAAACACTGAATTTTACATGTACTGGAGCAAGAACTGCAGTGAACGAGGTGAGCTCACTCCTGGAGTGCCTCTCAGAAATGTGGGAAAAGTGATAGTCAACCCTCAGCAAGGTGGAAATGCCCGAGCTGCCTTGGGAGACAGGAGGGTAAAGGACAGCAAGAGCCTAAACATCTTTGCACATCAGATGCATAGTATAGTGTTTGGCACCTGGTATACGCTCAATAAATATTGAATAAATTTACCTGAAACCTTCTGCCATAACCAAGTTGCTAAACAAATTAAATAATTCTTTAATAAGTGTGGGTGCTGGTGGCAGTCAGGTTAGAGGGGAGCAATGGAAAAAAAGGCAGGCCAACGGTAACTGAACAACAATAAAATAAATAAATAAATAAGCCAACAAATATTAGCAGCTTACCCTTTGAGGTCATTAATTAATTTGTTTTTTTCTTGGACTATTCGCTTGTGATGCATTCGATGAAAATCCCGTTCTTTCTGAGTTTTCAGCAGATCTTCTCTAGCCTTGCTGAAAAATTACAAATATAACTTTACATATCACTGCTAACTCCTTTCTAAAAATATTACTTAGTTATCAGCTAAAATCTAGTATTGAGCAATTCAAAAGAAAATTGAAAAACACAGACCCCATTACAAGTCTCTCTGAAGGATCCCAACCAACATGATGTATACTGGGATGCGGGGCTGGGGGGTGCTTTTAAATTGGTACTTTCAAAAATAGCATTATTCACATTTTATTTAAGTAAAGAAAAATTAAAGATATGCTGCCAAAATAACTTATAATCTATCTACTTACAAAAAGAATGTTTACAAAATTGAAATACATATAAAACAGGATAATTCAAAATAACTACAAGGAAAATACGAAATTTAATTCTGAACTTGCTTGAATATATAATTAAAAGAGAATGCACTGAGTTACTTAATTCTGATAACTGTGAAAAAGTAAGCATGTAAGTTCTGGAAAAACCAAGATTTTATTCTGGTAATACATATGAGAAATACACCCCACCAGCAGATCATATTACTAAAATAGTTGATAATTTGATGAGAAAGTTCTTCAAATTCAGTGTTGAAATACAGAGGCATTTTTCAACTAGATATATCTTCTATGCACCCGTGGCATAAAGCAAGAATATTAATTTTAAGCCCAGGCTGTATGTGAAAAATTAATGAAAATATTTCACTCATCCCATAATATGTTAGCTTCAATATAAAAATGTAAAATATAATTTAAAATGAAAAAGTAGTTATCCAACAGTCTTAGTTAAATGACAAAGTACTACTGCATTGAAACTCTCACATTCTGAAAATGGAGAGACTGAATTAGAGTGCTGACATCTCACAAGATGATCAGAATGGAATAAATCTGCTTCCTCTTGTGACAGTATTTCAAAATTCAGATTCACATAAAACAAATGTGCACAAATAGATTTATCTTCTAAGAGCTATATCAGAGCAATCACTGAGCAGCAGTGGCTGGGATGCTGCCAAAAAGTGGGATGAGGTTAAGTTTTCAGGCTCCTGATGGAGCATATTAAGATCAGTGAGATTTCTTGCTACAAGATCAAGCCACATGTGGCATATGGTGACAGTAGCCTACTTTTCCAAGGTGCCTTCTTCTTTTTTCCCCCCTACTCCCCTTTTTAGGGAGGATGACCTGTATTACTCTTTATTTATTACCACTGTTGTAGGGTTTATTACATGTAAATAAACATGTCACAATACTCCTGGTTTATTCCCACCATCTAATACTCAACTTCATTTTCATGAAGGTGCAAGAAAATAGTCATTAAAATATCATCTTGAAAATTCATCTGATAAATATGCAAATTATTAGATGAACAAATAATTTATTTTTCCCATTTTTTTAACCCTCTGTGTGTGTGAATAAAGATAGGCTAGTAAAGAGAGACCCCCTCTGCCACCACCATGTGGCCAACGCATAATACAGGAAGAGGAAGAAAGAATTTAAGTAGAGTGATTGGAAATGGCAAATAGCTAAGATGACATTTGGTTGTGAAAACACAAGAACACCTGAATCCTCATTCATTTAGAAGAAGCATGTAAAATGCCTTATATACTCTCTGGCACATGGAAAATATTCAGTAAATGTTAATATAATCATTATCACATCATTATTATTATTCTTTAGTATAGTAGAAAAGTTATATTCAGGTCCTCTAACAACTAAATTATCTACCTAAAACAGGGGGCATGCCAATAGGTAGATATCCTGTGATGGGCCAAAAGTATCAAAATTCACAATCGTTAGTAAAACCATACTTATAAATAATTTAAACTTTTATGAACATCTATTTTACACGTAATAAGACTGCTAACTTTCAACAACTTGATGAACTATATAAATGAACTTATGTCCTATTTATCTTGTCTGAATCTAAAGCCAAATTAGGTTAAAAATACAGGGTGGGGCAAATGTGTATGGAAAATAATGCAATAATAAAAAATAATACAAAAATGAGTTTCACATACTCACAACTGTAGAGCTACATTTGACCCACCTGCATGTAGAAAAATAATGCTGGACAGTTTCTTAAGCAGAATCACAAGTGTGCAGCATTGCGTCAACTCACTTTTTAAATACACATTTAAAGACCTATTTGTACTCATCCAAGAAAAGAAAGCATAGGAATTGATTGAAGTATTAGACCTTAAAGTTTTTCTCTGACCATTAAATTGGTTTTCTGGGACTTGCTTTCTGTTTGCACAAATGAAGTCTGCTCAGTAGAACAATTTAAATTCATTTCATGGTGGTGCTTTTCCTATTATGACCTTCCTGCTGCCCATCAGCTTAATAAAAGGAACATAAAAGAAGTACTAAAAAATAAAGTTTAAAATATTTATAAGCAATTAATATTTTAAGCTATATAGTGTTTTCTCATTATATTAGCAGAGCATGTTGTGTTAAAAATAAACTTTTATTAAGACAGAAACCAAACAGAGAGATTCTATTTCAAGTATAATGAAGTAAGAGGTATTCCATGAAACATTCTATTTAGGTTTGTGTATCATAAAGAACACACTTTTACATGCTTCTTCTCTTAAGGAGATGGGAGAATCACTATCTAACATCCCCGTTTCAGGAAAGCAGCATACAGCATATCAAAACCTACAATTAAAGTATAAAATACTAAGATAGTCTTATTTTTATCTTACTATAAAAACACTGTCCCTAAAGCACCATGTTTCCACATAGGAATATGACTTAATAGTGTGCTCTAAAAAAATATTTTTAAGTGTATGCCCAGTAAAATGATTTTATTAGCTGAATAGTTTTAACTAAGAATGCTAGAGCGACCATTCAATAATAGGTTTATTGAGTTATTTTGTTATAATAATTTGGCAAAAGGAAGTATATAAATATGTTCTTGTTTATCTGCACTAATCAAAGCAAGCCTTCATTTTTTTCTCATGTGAAAACTTGAATCAATGTACTTCTGATAACAATACTATATGATAGTCAATTATTTCATTATCTTGATTTGTTATAAATGAATTAGTTTAACCCACTAAAATTAATATTGGAATAATTTTGGAATAGACGAAAATTGAATTCAACCAGACTAGAACAAAACTTTCATTATATTCTTAACCAAAAAAGAAAGGGGTATACCCACGTCCAGAAAAAATACTGTCTTAATTTAACAAGCAATTACCTAAACACTAGAGCATAAAATTCTATGTGCCTCATTATTATCATTATTTCCACAGTGTTTGTTTCTGAAAGTCATTACATTAAATGGGTCTTTGGAAAAGCTGGGTACTCTTTGACCTTTTATAAAAGTGAATTTTGTAAGTGTAATTAGGGCCCCATAATAAAGCACCTAATTTTTCCTGAAAATTAATTGTAATTTAATTATAATTTCTTTATGTCTTTATTTTCTGGGAGAGGGTAAAATAAAGTATTTCAGTATTTTAATGGTAGATTTTAATTCTTTAATTAATAATCCCAATCAGTGTCACTTTCTGCCAAATCTTCTGGCCTCTCAATACAACTTTTCTGGTCTACATTTCACTTTCTTAATAAAACAGTCCAGCGAAGGAAGACAGTGCTATAAATGTGGCAAGACTTAGCTTTACACAAAGTTATTTCAATTTCCACCATGAAGGAAAAATGATCCCTACTCCAAAGAAATTCCATGAAAGGGGCAAAAATTATTAATTAACTACTCATTATTAAAAGGTTAACTGCTTAATTAAAGAGCCAAAAATGTTAAAAGCACACGTTCATTTATGCCCCTCACCTATTTGCCAGGAACAGCTATAGTTGGGTCCTGGGGGCACATGGAGCACAAGACACAGTCCGAACTATATGGGACTTACAATGTAAAAACAAAATATATACATTAGCTAATCAGATGTAAAAGGCATAAGTTTCAAGCTCCTTTATGAATAGACAGTATTAAAGATAACCTATAAAGAGATAGAGCACAAAAATAGAATACTAAAACTTAAATATATCAACCCTTTCTCCCCCCAAATATATTTATATGTAAACACATAACACACACACACACACACACACACACACTCTTCCTAAATTAAGTTATAAATCCAAGTAAATTCCAATGCTAATCACATACCTGTCTTCCTATAAAAATTGACAAAGTGACTCTAAAATTTATAGGGATATACAAAGGACCTATAATCACCAAACTGTCTTTTAAAAAGAATGTTACTGAAGGACAAATACCATCTGACTTCAAGGACTTACTTAAGGGTAGAGGGAGGATAAAGAGGGTCAAATGTATGCCGATGGAGGGAGACTAGATTTGGGTGGTGAGGACATAACGCAATAGACAGATGATGTATTTTAGAATCAGGCATTTGGAACTCATATGTCATGAACCAGTGTCACCCCAATAAATTTATTTTTTTTTAAAAGAACAAAGCAATCAAGTGTATGGTATTAGCATGAGGATAAACAAACAGATGAATGGGACAGAATAGAGTTTAGAAATGTACCCACAACTACAGGACAAACTGATTTTCAACAAATATGCCAAAGACATTCAATGATGAATGAAAATGGTGCTGGAACAACTGAATATTCCCACAGAAAATTAACCTCTATATCCTACCTGAAATCATATATAAAAATGTAAGGTCGCCAGCCGAAATTAATATTCTAAATCCTTAAAGATTTTAGAAGAAACTATAAGAAATACCTCTGTGACCTGGGAGCACGCAATGGTATCTTAGACAAAATATCAGAAGCAATACTATAAAAACATACGATTTCCTTAAAATTTAAAACCGCTGCTTATTCAAAGACACCACTTAAAAACTAAGGATTCAAGTCATAAACTAGGAGAAAATATAATATTCTGGAAAAAATATATCTAGAATATGTAAAGAACTCTTACAACTCAATGATAAAACAAACAATACAATCCAAATAAAAATGGGCAAAAGATTTACACAAAAGCAGGACAGCCAATAAGTACTTAAAATCATGTTAAATATCAATTATGATCAGGAAAA